TAACCCGGCCATGTGATTGTGAGGTCCTTGCAAGGACAACACTCTCACATGGCTTGGGGGGCCGGAGGAGGCAGGATTCGCTGTGGGAGACTCCCTGGGATCCTGGGTGAGTCTCCCCAACCGCGATCGCAGGCATGGGATAGCCGGCGACCGGGTAAGTAAGAAAAACCGGAGGGCGTACTATTACGCCCTGCAGCGTTTAGAGCTGCTTAGAATAGGGCATAATAGTACGCCCTCCGGTTTTAAGGGGTTAAGCAAAGAAATTTACTCAAATATATAAATAAAATATATAAAGCCAGGGAAGCCCAGGTGTGCTGCATGTCACTAATAGTTTTAATGAGAAAATAAGGGTTTGGCTGCACTCACCTACACATGCTAAATTAGGGTGCTGCTGGGGGCCAATAAGTACAGTGAAAATGAAAATCCAGCGCACTCGCTTATCTACTAAACAGTCATTTTAATGCTGAACAATTTTCAGTTTTATTAAAAACACCTAATCTAGGCAAAAAAATATAATGGGGGTTTAGTTACAGTATATGATCATACATTGCATAAGCCTGCCACAACGTCAATGTACCCCATCTTAGGCAGGTCCTACTCTGTCTGCTAAATGAGCTTCTCACTTGGGGAAATCCTTCCATCTCGAGGTCTCTGCAGTACAATGCTTAAATAGGATCCTGAGATGAGGCACCTGTAACAGGGAGGGGTGCAAAACCCATGGAGCTGGCTAGACTCCTAAATATATACATATATGAGAAAATAAGGGTTTGGCTGCACTCACCTACACATGCTAAATTAGGGTGCTGCTGGGGGCCAATAAGTACAGTAAAAATGAAAATCCAGCGCACTCGCTTATCTACTAAACAGTCATTTTAATGCTGAACAATTTTCAGTTTTATTAAAAACACCTAATCTAGGCAAAAAAATATATAATGGGGGTTTAGTTACAGTATATGATCATACATTGCATAAGCCTGCCACAACGTCAATGTACCCCATCTTAGGCAGGTCCTACTCTGTCTGCTAAATGATTTTCATTTTCACTGTACTTATTGGCCCCCAGCAGCACCCTAATTTAGCATGTGTAGGTGAGTGCAGCCAAACCCTTATTTTCTCATATATGTATATATTTAGGAGTTTAGCCAGCTCCATGGGTTTTGCACCCCTCCCTGTTACAGGTGCCTCATCTCAGGATCCTATTTAAGCATTGTACTGCAGAGACCTCGAGATGGAAGGATTTCCCCAAGTGAGAAGCTCATTTAGCAGACAGAGTAGGACCTGCCTAAGATGGGGTACATTGACGTTGTGGCAGGCTTATGCAATGTATGATCATATACTGTAACTAAACCCCCATTATATTTTTTTGCCTAGATTAGGTGTTTTTAATAAAACTGAAAATTGTTCAGCATTAAAATGACTGTTTAGTAGATAAGCGAGTGCGCTGGATTTTCATTTTCACTGTACTTATTGGCCCCCAGCAGCACCCTAATTTAGCATGTGTAGGTGAGTGCAGCCAAACCCTTATTTTCTCATATATGTATATATTTAGGAGTTTAGCCAGCTCCATGGGTTTTGCACCCCTCCCTGTTACAGGTGCCTCATCCAGGGCCGGCGCGTCCATAAGGCGGCACAGGCGGCCGCCTTAGGGCGCACGGGCTCTGGGGGCGCAATATTTCAGTGACCGGCAGGAGGGAAGCTCTCCCTCCTGCCAGGCCACCATCTCGACCCCCGGCGCAGCGCGCGGCAGTGCTGTGATCAGGCGCGCGAGGGAGCTCTAATCTCCACCCTCTGCTCCCTCGCGCGCTGCCTACTGATGCCGCGGGAGCCGGAATATGACGTCATCAGTAGGCAGCCCGCGAGGGAGCAGAGGATGGAGATTAGAGCTCCCTCGCGTGCCTGATCACAGCACTGCCGCGCGCCTCTCAGCAGCCCCAGCCCTCAGGGACCGATCCAGCATCCACACCAGCTCTCCAGGTAGGGAGGCTGGGTGGAAAATGTTTATTTATAAAATTATTAGTGAATGTATGTGATGTGTGTCTGTGTGTGTGTGTGTGTGTGTCTGTGAGTGACAGTGTGTGTGTCTGTGTGTGTGTGTCTGTGAGTGACAGTGTGTGTGTGTCTGTGAGTGACTGAGCGTGTGTCTGTGAGTGACAGTGTGTGTGTCCATGAGTGTCTGTGTGCGTCTCTGTGTGTGTCTGTGAGTGACAGCGTGTGTGTCTGTGAGTGACAGCGTGTGTCTGTGAGTGACAGTGTGTGTGTCCATGAATGACTGTGTGCGTCTCTGTGTGTGTCTGTGAGTGACAGCGTGTGTGTCTGTGAGTGACAGTGTGTGTGTGTGATTGTATGAGTGTGTGTGCATGTGATTGTATGAGTGTGTGTGCATGTGATTGTATGAGTGTGTGTGCATGTGTGTGTCTGAGTGACTGAGCGTGTGTCTGTGAGTGACAGTGTGTGTGTGTGTGTGAGTGATTGTATGAGTGTGTGTGTCTAAGTGACTGAGCGTGTGTCTGTGAGTGACAGCATGTGTGTCTGAGTGACTGAGTGTGTGTGAGTGAGTGATTGTATGAGTGTGTGTGTCTGATTGACTGAGCGTGTGTCTGTGAGTGACAGTGTGTGTGTGTGTGTCTGTGAGTGACTGTGTGCTTCGGTGTGTGTCTGTGAGTGACAGTGTGTGTTTGTGAGTGAGTGACTGTCTGTGTGTCTGTGAGTGATTGTATGAGTGTGTGTGCATGTGAGTGTATGAGTGTGTCTGTCAGTGTATGATGAGTGTGTTTGTCAGTGTATGAGTGTGTGTCTGTCAAATCAGTGAGAGTATGTTTGTCATTGAGTCTGTGTGTGACTATCAGTGTGTCTGTCAATGAGTGTCAATCAGTGTGGGTCTGTCAGTGTCAATGAATGAGTGTGTGTCAGATCAATGAGTCTGTGTCTGTCAGTGGCGTCTGTGTGTTTGTCATTGAGTGTGTGACTGTCAGTGTGTACAGAGTGTAGTGGAGCAGAGCGCGGTACAGGAGCTTCTGTTTCCTGTACCTGGCCAGACTGACAGGAGGTGCTCACAGAGAGAGCACTCCCTGTCAGTCCGTCCGGGTACAGAAAACTGAAGCTCCTTTAGGGGATCTGCTCCGCTCGGCAATGCAACAATAGAGGTAGGAGGCACACACCAGGAAGTGTGACCACTAAAGGGGTGGGGGTGCACCAAGGGACAGGGAGGGAATGGGAGAGAAACACCAAGAGACAGGGAAAAAAGGGGGGAGGGGGAAAGGGGGGAGGGGAGAAGAACACTAAGGGACAGGGAACGGAAGGGACCACTAATGGTCGGGGAGGGGAGAGGGGCTGGTTAAGAGGCACATAGGTGAAGATTTTGGGGGGGAGAGGGGGGCGGAAAAATGCATCTTCGCCTATGTACCTAAAAATCCAAGCACCGGCCCTGGCCTCATCTCAGGATCCTATTTAAGCATTGTACTGCAGAGACCTCGAGATGGAAGGATTTCCCCAAGTGAGAAGCTCATTTAGCAGACAGAGTAGGACCTGCCTAAGATGGGGTACATTGACGTTGTGGCAGGCTTATGCAATGTATGATCATATACTGTAACTAAACCCCCATTATATTTTTTTGCCTAGATTAGGTGTTTTTAATAAAACTGAAAATTGTTCAGCATTAAAATGACTGTTTAGTAGATAAGCGAGTGCGCTGGATTTTCATTTTCACTAATAGTTTTAATAACTCCTATTGCACTCTTCCACCATCTTCATCAGAGTGATCAGTCTACTGCTGAGACCTGAAAAAACCCTGCTGAGGATAGTTTAAAAGTTTTGAAGCTTCAAACTCCAGGACTGATCTGACTATGATTTCAATCTGTTTCAATCTGTAATGATTATTGATTGTGTTAACCATGTCAGCTACGATATTACCACTGCAGAGTAAAGCGGAACCGTCACCATTACCACTGTCGCTGCCCTTGGCGGGGAGGGGGCTGGGAAAGGTGAATTTACTTACCTCAACCTGCCCCCTTGATTATAATAATTTTGCGTGGTGGGTAGAGGGAGGATTGAAAGTGCTTTTTTAACCCCTTAAGGACCAAACTTCTGGAATAAAAGGGAATCATTACATGTCACAAAGGGGTTAATTATAGTGTCAACATCGCCTTGTGCTTAGGGTCATTGTCATGCTGGAAAGTACAAGAGCATCCCATGCGCAGTCTTTGTGCAGAAGAAGGTAAAGTGTCTGACAGTATTTTCTGATAGCATGCCTTTAGAGCTCTTCCACACCCCAAAAAAACATCAGTGAGCCACCACCATGCTTCACAGTGGGGATGGTATTCTTTTCACTATAGGCCTTGTTGACCCCTCTCCAAACATAGCACTTATGGTTGTGACCAAAAGCTCAATTTTGGTCTTGTCACTCCAAATTACAATGTGCCAAAAGCTGTGAGGTGTGTCAATGTGTTGTCTGACATATTGTAACCGGGCTTTTTTGTGACATTGGTGCAGTAAAAGCTTTTTTCTGGCAACTCGGCCATGCAGCTCATTTTTGTTCAAGTATCGTCGTATTATGCTCTTTGAAACAACCACACTGTCTTTTTCCAGAGCAACCTGTATTTCTCGTGAGGTTACCTGTGGGTATTTTTTGTGGCTGAAATCGTTCTTGGTCTACCTGACCTTGGCTTGGTATCAAGAGATCCCCAAATTTTCCACTACTAAATAAATGATTGAACAGTACTTACTGGCATTTTCAAGGCTTTGATATGTTTTTATATCCTTTTCCATATTTATAAAGTTCCAATACCTTGTTACGCAGGTCTTTTGACAGTTCTTTTCTGCTCCCCATGGCTCAGTGTCTAACCTGCTCAGTGCATCCATGTGAGAGCTCACAAACTCATGGACTATTTATACACAGACACTAATTGTAATTTAAAAAGCCACAGGTGTGGGAAATTAACCTTGAATTGCCATTTTAACCTGTGTGTATCCATTTTAACCGGCTGGTGGGGGTACCCCCAACTATGGAGGTACCCGTGGCCCAGCAAAAGTGCAAGCTACAACTTGAATCTCTCCACCTCAGACTACCCAAGATGGCAGACGCCAGGCCTCTCTCCTTACTACGACTGAATCAACACTCATGAAACTAGACAGGATATTAGAGGATGTCTGGCGAAAGATCGAGGAGAGGCAGCGGAGAGCAAACTCGCACCACCCCTCGCACCCGGCAGTCCAGCGGCACGTGCCGACCACACAGAGGCGGAATGGCTTTGCACCCAGGACACGACCCGAGCGGTCAGCTCCAGGGGGTAAGTCGGCTCACGGAGCCCCCCCACAGACATCCCCTTCCAAAAGTGGACTTAAACGGCACTGCAGAGAGGCACATAGCCCAGGCTCCTGTGCCAAACGGAGCTTCCTGAACCCACCAATAGTCTGCCTTCATGCCGCACGGACTGTGGGCCGGGGCTGGAGGAGGTCCCATCATGTTGTATACCCCAACTATGGCCTGGAAGAGGACTGCATGCCCACCAGAGGCATTGGCTGAAACTATGACCCGGCCTACCTGCCGACCCCAAATGGACACCAGAAAAAATGGACCTGCTGACTACCCTTAACGCATTACCACACTGACTGGAGCTAGACCCACTAAAGGTGGCGTTGTTGGCCCACGTTATAACCTTTTTTCTCTCTTTTTTGTTCCCCCTTGGGATCTATTATACACAGTCCACCTCACCGACCACTGGGGCTAGCTGACCACCGCCTCAGACTCACCGCCTAAATTGTGACCCCCATCTGTTGTACCATAGATCCCACCGATGTTGTTGTACTCTGGGTGCTGAAGCACACACGTAGCCAGGTCGACTAACGTCTTATTAATACTCACTAAGGCACATTATACTGCTAAATTAAGTTAAAACCTAGAGTAGCTGTAACTCATGAATCATCTATCTGAGGCACAATGCACATCACCTACGCGGGGGCAACCCAGGGGATAAGCTACACAGGCTCACTCACACGGCTCTCACTAGAACACAGTAGCCATCTATACTCACCTCACTTACACACCAGCAGACCACACAGATAATGGTGTTATAGCCCAGATCACACCACAGAAGAGCCACATAAGTAGCTATACATAATAGCCTGTACTGAAATAATCTTGAATAATGTTGTTTTCCTGTAACTCAAGCATGTTATATAAAGATGCACTGTTCAATGTAAAGACCTACTCATAACGCTAAGCTTGAATATATATGTTAAAAATGTGCAAGGAACTCATGCCACTACCTAACCTGTATGCATACGCTAATATACGCTGTTGTGGCGTCGTGACACAGTTTTGTACCTACCTGCACAATAAAAATAAAGAATGTAAAAAAATTTTTTTTAATCATTAACGCCTCTGTCATTATCCAGGTTAGTAATGAGAATTTTTTTACAAATTGCTTGTTGTTTCTGAAAATGCATTCTTCAAATCTGGCCAACGTTTTTATGTTTAACTGTTTTGTGTCAAAACACATGTAGTATCAGTTGGTTGATTTATGTAGTGTGCATCTTATTTTATTGGTTTATATAGTTTTCTTAGGTCTGCATTAACCCAAAAACTATTTTGCTGGTGTTTTTCTGTGTATCATCTGTGGGTCTTTGTACCATAATACGAACTGTGGTATCTATAATATTGTAAGGGCGCACCCAGCATCCTTCCCATGGTTTTTAATACGACAATACTCCCTTTTAAAAACTTTGACAAAGCAGGAAGTATTATTTTGCACAGGTGCTGTATGAGGAAGAATTTGCTCCACATTTTCCTGAAGCATATGTAACCATTTTGTTGTGGCATTGTCCTCTTTTTGTGGAGTGGACAAAAATGGTTCAGAATTAAGCTGCATTTTCCTGCCTGTCATAAGCTGAAAAGATGTAAATGGTGGAGTTGATAAGGAGTTGACTAGGAGTGTTTTTTCCCCCATGTATTTCATTTGTCCAATAACATTTTTCTAAGCTTTGTTTTGAATGTGTAATTCATATGTTCCACCATGCCAGTGAACTCTGGATGTAGAACATGAAATCTTTGATCAATTCATAGAAAAGTACTGGTAGCTTTTATGACTTTTCCTTTGAAATGTGTACCTGTATCTGATCCAAGCATTCTTGGAAATCCCCATCTTGAAAAGATATGAGTTCATAAAGCCTCAGCAGTACAATACGATACTTTCCATCCTTTTGTAATATACATCTACCATGACCAGAGAATATTTTAACCCATTCTTGCCTGTTGGTAATAGTCCAATTAAATTAATCCACAGTGTGGACCAAGGACCATTTACTGGTACTGTACTCTGAATAGACGGTTCCTCTCCTTTAGTCCTAGGATTTACTTGTACACAGACAAGCCAAGATTGTACCGTATCTGATTGTAGGGTAGATTCACCCGCTAAGGTAACTCTTTTGCTAAAGTGTCTGATATTTCATTACCTGAACTGTGTGGGTCTTTGGTTTTCTTAAGTGCAGATAATATAACAATAACATTGAAGCATGGAAATTGTAATGCAAGTTAAAATATGGATTCTAGTGTTTCTTTGCGAGCTAAAACTTAGTTTGAAGCATCCACAAAAACTCTTCTTTTACGTATAGGTAAATGATCTCTTGCCACTATACACCAAGAGGGAACCTCACCCCCCCTCCCCCTTTTTTATTTTCCTCTTGTGTTGGTGCTGTTTTTAATGCTTACAGTTCTGCTCTTTGTGCTGAAAAATTATCAAGTATCTTATTTTCAACGGCATATCCTCTTTTTGGATCCCATAAAGAATATTCTGTTCAGCACTTGCCAACGGAAAAGAATCTAAAACTATCAACAAAGACTGGGTCATCTGATTTTTCTTCCTCCTTTTGAAAGAGAGATGGAGTAAGATCTTCAGCCTGTACAGAGCATTCATGGGGTTTACTTCATGGGGTTTTCATATTGCTGTGAAAGTATGTACTTTGCCTTATGATGTCCAGCAGTAATTTTCTGTCGGTATAATGCTAACAACCAATGTGAAAATATGTTTCTTTCTTTATTATGCCACTACAGTGGTTACATGACAAACAGGGGTATGTGCTATGTACCAGTTTGGGAAGGAACCTTTGCTCATGTGCATATGTACCAAGAGAGTCTGCCTTCACTACCATGTCTCTAATGGTTCTACCTCTTTTGTGTGCAAACAAAGAAGGCTCCTTGAAAAGGTGTCCTATCTGTTTGTCCACCTGTAACAAGTAATAATTGTTCCTTATAATTTTTTGGAGAAGAGAAGGTGGAGAAGGTACTTACAAAAGGTAACCAATCTGTCTTGGTTTTAGGTTTTATAGTGACTAGGTCGTCACGGGGTAGTGCTTTCATCCTTTGTCGTGCCCTTCCTCGTGCATTGCAAACATAGCTCTTATGTTCAAAATTTTGAGTATTTTCAGATGGACGATTGTCAGTAGTGAATTTGTCCTGAACAAGTCTTCTAGCCTGTACAAATTGGCTCTAGGGAATAGATTAAATTAGTTTTTAGGGTGATAACTTCTTGAGTCGAACAGACTATTAGTCAGTTGGTTTTGTAAATAGGTCTGTAGTCAGATGGTCACCTGTCTTTCCCACAGTCATGTTCAGAAAGTCAACTTTGATATAAATTTTATGTCTGAATGGCACTGATTAAGATGTTCCAAAAAGCTGTTAAGCCCTGCTTGTGTGCCCCTCCAGATCATAAAACAATCATCTATGTACCAGTAACATACTGAGACAAGCTCCAGAAGCAACAGATTGTTGTATGAGAACCTATCCTCAAAGTCCATCATAAGCATATTTGCGTAGGATGGTGCCATGTTGGTCTCCATCGCATTTCCTTTGATCTGTTCGTAAAATATAAAGAGATAGCGGATAATGTCTAACAGAGTTACCACAAATTTACACAGACTGGTGTCCAATATAACTGAAGATGAAGACAGCCTTTTTTGGATAACTAACAACCCCTCTGCATGTGGAATTGAAGTGTACAGGCTCGACACATCTAGAGTGACCAAAAGGTCAGATTGTAAGATCCTTAAGTCTCTAATCTTCGTAAGGAACTCTTTAGTGTCTTAAATATAAGACATGCCAGTAGATACAATGGGCTTTAAAAAAAAAATAACCAGAAATAAAAATAGCCAGAGGTTGAAAGATTGAGTCTGTACCTACGACAATTGGTCGACCTTTGGGGGGTTTAATGGATCTTTGTGAACCTTTGTGAGTTTGTAAAATACCAGTGTCATTGGAAATGTATTTGATAGGAAATTGTACTTTAGCCAAAATAGTAGTGATATTTTTGGTAATGTGTAATGTGTTATTTCAAAATTCTATAGTTAGTTGCATGACTTCCTCATGGTAGTTACTCTTATTCTGGACCACTCTTAGGCCACCTTTATCAGCCAGCTTGATAATGATCTCAGAAATACTGGACTACTCTTATAGTGCTTTTCTTTCGTTGTAAGAAATATTATGTTTAGTGTTCTGTCGGTGCCAGGGAAATTGCTCTATTGTGTACTTACAATGTTCATAAATGTTTGGACAGAGCTGTTTGGTACAATAGGAAAGGTACTCCTATGTTTACATATGCCACTTGTACCTTGTATCATGAGACAAACCATGCACCCACTGGTGGTTCATCATCTGGACAGTCCAGGTTTTCTTGAGACTGGAGTTATTTGAAAAGGAAACATGTACGTTTACAAGGCGGACATATTTCTGTACATCAACTTGACAATTAAATAATTGCATTTTATGTGACGGTACAAAGTTTAAACCTTTACTCAAGGCAGATAACTGAATGTTTGTCAAAGGTGTATTGGAACTGTTAAATACCCTTGGCTGTCATTTCACAGCCTCTCTCTGAGATTTTGTCTTTGGGTGTTAGAGTGCCCCTTTCAGCCCCTTCTAGTGCGGTGGGACCCTCTAAAAAAGGACGCCCAGAATTGTCTGGCAATGTGGCTTCTGAGTCAGAGGTTGCCAACAGGATATTCTTTGAGTTGGTATGTCCTCTTTTCTGAGGTTCCTGTTGACGAGAATGATGTCTCCATGTGTAGACACATTTGTACTGATAGTCTAGTGTGTCTATTCAAAATTTACGAAGTTTGGTTATTTCCAGCTCTTTACGGAATTTAGTAATACTAACGGTAATTTCTTGCACAAACTTTTGAAGGTTCTCTGCCTCAGTTAGGGCTGTTAGTTGCCTTGTTAAATTAGCACTTTGAGTAGAGATCTTGTCCAACTCTTCGGTCAGGGGATTCGTTTCAGTCAGGGTAGTCAAGTAGAGTGGATTGATGATGTCTGTAATTTGTCTCCTTCCTTGTTAATGATTCCAGAGTCCCACTGTGTCAGTCTCACAGAAAAATATCCCACTGTCTGTAGTGCTGGCAGTGATGAGTGAGTCAAGATGATGTGCAGTATGGGTAAATGTCTCCGCTCTATTTATGGTTAAATTAGCAATGCTTGAAAATTATATTTTACTCCTGCTGAAAGATTTTACAATACAGGAACAGCCAGGAAGTATACATTTCACAAAAAGGGGGATTTCCTTTTAAATTTCAAAAGAAAACAGGCAAAATCAAAACTGCTTCAAAGAGTCAGGCTACTACACAAAACAGCACACAATACAAGCATAATAAAGGATCAACAATTTTAAAATGCAAAAAAAAACATGAAAATGCCTCATAAATGGAGCTCCAAGTCAAAATAGCAAAATGTGATCACATATACTGGACAGAGGCTAAGACACCCAAGTGCCAACAAGCAGATTTAAACAATGTAAAACATACTGCAGTCTCAGAGGTTATAGTGGTTTTGGTCATTAACTCAATGCACTTCTGGCTGTATCTTACAGCTACACTGAATGTATATCTTTTGCCCATTGTTTCTTGTTTCTTGGTGTTTTTATATTCTTGATTTTGTATTATTCTTCTTCATCTTATTCTTGATTTTTTAATTAATATTTTTATTCATTGTTACCCTTTTTTTGTCTGTTTTTTTTTTCCTCCATTTCCCTCTGTCTATTGGTTGGCACTAAGCTTCACTCTTATGATTTGCAGCTGCCCTCTATATGTTTTTTTCCATATATTGAGCAGTAGAAGCTGTCTTTACTTTATTAACAATATTTTTTTTTTTATGTATATTATTTACGTGCCTGTTTTCAGGGCTTTGCCTGAAGTTGTTGTACCTAGTTTTGACCACTCAAAGCTTCCTTATTTATTTCCTCCAGCTCAGTAGGCCACTGAGCTTGTATCCCCTGGATTCCTAGCAACCCGGCGCCATACGCTGATGACGTCACACGTAATGATGCACTGAGTGACCGCTGGTCACAGGTCAGAGAATTGCAAGATCGTGGTTTATACCGGAAGCAAGCCCCTTCCTCCACACTACACTGTGGGTGGGTTGGGGAGTGATATACCTTGTACTTGACTATTTATTGGTGAGTGTTTGTCTATGTTACTAAGGCCAAATGCATTGAGAAAGGGCTTGTTGCCTGAAACGTTGGCTGGATTTTCTTGTTTTTGAACAAATGTAGAGTGCTTTCCTCCTTTTTTCTTTTGTTTCTATGTGAAAATATTTGGTGTGAAGCACTTGTTTTTCCTTTTTCAAGGAGCAATTTCAAAAGTGTGCATGATGTTTGTAGAATTATATCTTTGCAACCCACAATGTGTTTAGATGCCTTTGTAGCACAATCAACTCATTCTAAGTGTCTAGCACATACTTCCAATCCTCTATTTACTGGAGCATGAATTCCAGAAAAAATATAACACAATTCTCCATGTTCCTTTTTGTAATTGTAGAAGCATTGCTGAGACAGCAGTCTCAGGTGTATTTACCTGAATTGCAAATGGTGCTGTGGGATGTATAGTTGTTAAAGTAGGTGGTACCTGTAGATCTTGTGTAAGTGTTTCCAATGCTTTTTGATGTCCATCTTGCCATGAGCCAAAAGAGGAATCATTACTTTTCAAAAGATCATACAAATACATAGCTTTTTCAGCAAACCCTATTATGAATTCCTTTGAAAAATGCATTAATTTTTAAAAACTTTTGGAAAGACTTGTTTGAAGAAGACATTTGCCCATGCCTGATGAAAATATATATTTTTTGATAACTTTGAAATCCTTCAGGTAAAACAGCAAATATATATTGTTGAAATGTAAAAGTAAATTTATACTGACAGCTTTGTGTAAGTGGTAATGAGAAAAACCCATCACTTTCATTAAGCAGTTAGGATACTTTGGCAGTTGACCTCAATCGAGCCAACATATCTGGAGTATTTGCTACCACATGCATTGAGAGCGTAGTGTATTTGTTTAAAGTTTTTAAATCAATTGTCAATCTCCATAATTTTTTTATCATCTTTTAGTTCTGGCCACAGAGCATTATTACATGTGCTATTTGCTTTCCTTTGTTTCAAGTCACATATAACATTTGCAATGGATTCAATTGATTCTTGAGGAAATTGATATTGTCTTTGGGCTAAAGCATCAGGTGTCATTAAATCTTTAACTCTCCCACAATGATTTTTAGCTTGTGCCCATAAAGCTGGAAAACGGTGTACAATCTCTGGCTAATGCATCTTAGTAGGTAATGATTCAATTACCAAAAGAGACGCGTTGACCTGATACAAATATATCACCATATTCTGTGGGATCTAACAACAAAGGCTTTGTGACTTTAGCATTTTTCTAGATGGTCTTATGTATATGTTTAAAAAAATGTGTTTTAACCATAACTGAGTGTACTTTGAGAGACATATGACAACATACAAATGTCCATCTTTTACCTCCTTATTTAAAAATGTCTTCTACTGACAGGCAGGTTTATTCACAAAAGTGTATGTATTTTTAATTCAAACTGATTTTCACATTTTGGGCCAAAATCACCAAACTGCAGAGCATTCTCCATGTTAGCTATGTTTTTGCTTTTGCTATTTTGCCTTAGAAGGACACTGCAGGAGGGCACGTCACCCGAGCACTATCGATTATACCTTCTATTAGGCCCACACAACACCTACTCTAGGATAGATCTATTCCTGGTAAATGAAAGATACCTGACCCGCGTCCTGGGCTCAGAATTCGGGTCCATCACCAAATTCTACAAGTCACTCTATAATCATTCCTCGAATACAGAGACCCAAATAGCACATGATATAGAAATGACACATAAATTCCTGACTAACTTGGGATTACCCAAACTATCTCAGGAAGCGATTAATACAATGGCACCAGAGATCTTGCCGGAAGAGGTAGACCAGGCTATATCAGAGCTAAAAGGAAACAGGGCCCCCGGACCAGACGGCTTTGATGGGACTTATTACAAGACATTTAGGGAGGAACTCACGCCCCACTTGACTGCACTATTTAACGGATTTAGAGAGGGAGGTACACCTAACCAAGACATGTCCCTAGCCACCATCGTCCTATTACCAAAACCTGACAAAGATCCTCTCTTCCCCGAAAGCTATAGACCCATATCCCTCATAAACCATGACATGAAAATCCTAGCAAAGATACAAGCAGACAGACTAAACCCGTACCTCGCGGAGCTAATAGACGCTGACCAAGTGGGCTTTATACCTGGTAGGCAATTGTTCGAGAACACCCGCAGAAATATTGACCTAATATGGAAGCAGGCAGCCACTAACACCCCAACGTTGCTTTTTCCAATTGACGCAGAAAAAGCATTTGATAGAGTCCAATGGCCCTATTTATTTACACTCCTATCTCATATAGGCTTTCCCGAACAATCCTTAACCCTAATAAAGGCCATGTACACCAATGTCCGAGTGCAGGTAAAAATTTCAGGAGCTCCACTCCGGCCATTCCAACTT